TTTTTTTTTTTTTTTTTGACTCATGCTTTAATTTTCTGGAATTAACAAGGTCTCTTTTCCTAGTAGAGATAAGCTTGATGCAAGTAGTAGGAATGAATGCTGATTAAACTTGGCCACTGATTGGCCTCCCCAGAAAACAGCAAAATGTATGAATCGGTACTTATCTCATGCTTTTTCTGAACTTCTTATATGGACTATGTCAAACATATTCAAAACTGGAAAAGAAATAGTATAATGAACCCAATAGGTACCTAAGCCTGCTTCAGCAATTATCAAATCACAAGTCACAGGAGTCTTATTTTGTCTCTCTCATCCCTCACTCTGGATGATTTTCAAGCAAGTTCAGGTATATATTATGGCATCTCATTCATTTTTACATCTAAAGAAACAATAAGCAAACCTAACACTTGCTCTCTCTTGGGTCTGAGATGAAAAGGGAAGGGTGGGGATTCTTATTCTCTCGAGAAAAGATTTTTAAGTTGAGCCCATTTCCTCTTAACAGGTAGAAACCTCACTACGCCTCCACTCACAACCTGTCCATTCCTGCCTTATTTTCTTTTTAAGATTAGTGGTTGGGAGAGGAATGGGTTGGGAGACAGAGGGAGCTGGGAGCCACTCTAGTGAACTCTTTCATCCAGTCCCATCCTGTTTTCGATCACCCAACTTGAAGTATGACATAAAGAAGCATCAAATGCCCAATCCACAAACTTCATTTACAGAGGACCGCTTACTCAAGCAGTGGCTTCCCAAAAGGTACCCCAGAGGGGCATTCGCCGATGCTGGGAAATCTCATTAAATTCTCCCCACACTGGTGCTCTGGGTGTGTGAGTCAGTGGGCCGATGAGTGGGCCAAGAGTACTTCATGCCTTTTCCTTTTTGTGGTTCACTCTTTTTCCCAGTGAATGTAACCATTAAATAGGTTGAATAGGCCTCCTTCCACCACGGCTACCTCCTCGCCTAATGAGAATGACAAGGAAATTGGATAAAATTGGACTCCTTCAATTCTGAGACACTTTCAATTGAATCTTAAGACAAGCAGTTTTAGAAAACTTAAAATACTTTGACTGTAAGTGGCACTGTACATAGAAATGGCATCAAATTAACTAAATGCAATTAGCCGAAATGAAGGCGGTAATGGTGGAAAAATGGATGCAGAGTCAAGCAAAATAGCGCAGTAGGATCTGACATTCAAAGGAGGTTAAAAGCTATGTTAGCCAGAGACAAAAGCTAAAAGGCTTGCAGAAGTAAAGTGCTAATTGAGAAAATGAAGACAGAGTTCCTGACCCAGAACTGTGATAAAATCCTTGAAAGGGAAAATATCAGTGCTTTATGTGTTGGAGTATCAGAAAAGGAGGGCTTGTCTTCGATTCCCAGCTGAGAAGTGTGATTCTTTGAGAAGGGTTTGACTCTTTTGTTCTCCCAGCCACCCAGATTTACTCGGCTGTAGTGCCAGGTCAGCTCTGACTAGAAAGAGCCCCCCACAGCTCTAGAAACGCGATCATTTGTTGAGAGAGATGGGTGAGCCTGACATCTGAAAGGCAGGAACTTGTTAACAGAGAAAAAAAAATCTAGATGAAAAGTGCCCTACACACCCATAGCTCCTGTGCACAGACCCATATTAGAGACTAGTTGGCACTTTTTTATAGTATTATAAAATCGGTGACATTTTGCAAACTGGTTTTTTTGTTTTGGTTTGGTTTTTTTGTAATTAACATGATCTAGGAAAAATGTCCTGCTACTTAATGTTAAGTGTATTTCAAGGAATCCCACTTACTTGGTTTTCTGCCTTGGACCTCTTAAGACTGAAACTACTTTCCTCCTTATGGAGGATTCCTGGAATCTGGCATCTTCCCTGGTTCCCCAAGCAAAGGTTATGTGAGGAGCCGTGTTACGTGGCGGGTACTGTGATGAGCACTGGAAGTCCAGGTGTGAAGGAAGGAGTCCCCACGCTTAAGGACCTCACAGTCCGGTTGTGGGTGGGAAGCGATTACGGTGCAGTTGCGGGAGGGCGTCCAATAGCAGAGGCCAGAGAGGATGGAAAGCAGACATAGGAGGGGTCCGAGAAAGCGGTCATGTCCCAGAGGCCATCAAGGCTAGACTTGTTTTGCTGGATCTTGAGTGGTGTGGCCTGGACAGATTCCTTCTGGGAAGCAGTCAGAGAGAAACAGAGCATGCGTGGCCTTGGGAGCTTTGTGAGGAAGTGTGGACAGGCTGAAGGCAGTGAAGGGCCCCTGCAGAATTCTAAGCAGAGGAGAGACATCAGCACGGTTTTGAAAGACCACAAGGTCAGCAGGGCAGGGGCCATGAGTCACTTCTCAGGCAGCCCCTACCCTCTGCTATGCCCAGATCTCTCCTTCCTACCACCTGCTCTCTGGCCTAAAGGAAGTTCAACAGATGGGCTCAAGAAGTGGGCTCAGTACATGTGTTTCCTCCCTGCAGCATGGCCAACTGCAGTCTTTTTCCATAAGATTAGCAGACGGGGCAAGATCGGTGTGTTTATTCGCTGTCCATCCTGGTGGACTCATCTCAATGAAATGGCTCCATCACACAGACGATGATCACGGCTTAGTAAATCAGGAGGGTGAAACAAACTCCAGGAGTGACTGTGTTGGCTCCATCACAGTGGACGCTCTGCAAAGACAGGGAGTGCGAGAGACGTCCTGTAGTATCAGACATACTGCTGGAGCGTGGCTTATTTCCACACTTCATTTATGATTCCACCCTTTGGCTTTAACAAGAGTATTATGGTGGGATCTCATGGAAGCAGCCAGGTAAGGGAAGGATGCTGCCGGCTAACACAGCCGCACCCACCTGGATGCTGTTGACACAGGTGAGCGGACAGGACAGTGTACCTACATATGCACAGTGAAAAAGTCCTGCACAAACACACAAGTCTCTTGGGCAGCAAACACAACATCCCGCTACCCAAGGAGGCCTGAGCATCAGATTCACACCTAATCAGGTGAGGCGTTAGAGGAGGTGATTTCTATTTGCAGAGCCAACAATGAAACATGAGTTGTGTGTTTAGACCAGGTGGTGGCAGGAGGAAATGTTCCCACTGGGGGTAATTAAAAGTGAAGCCAAGACAAAGTTCTTGCAGCTCGGCAAGTGTCTACGTTGCCAAAATGGCAGGTCCTAATGAGCCTCCGCAGTGCAGCCTTGCCTCTCCTTGAACCAGAAGCCACATCAAACAGAAAAAGCGGGGCACATGGTGGATCAAGTTCTCAGGTGTGTTTAAGGAATTTATAAACCATTCAGACAAACTAGGGGAAAAATAATGTGAACTTGAAAAATGAAAAAAAATCATGCCAGATTAATAGGAAAAACTACAGGTTTATTATTATCAAGCAGTTGTAGTGACCAAAGTAAGGTTCGACTCAGTGATTCCATCTAATGTCTGTGTTCACCTGGGTGCTGCTGAGTGAGCTTAAAGTTGCACAGAAGTAAGGATTCTTCTTAGAGAGTCAGACATTCTGGGTTGAGGCTATGCACAGACTGGGCTTTCTGTCTGCGGTGGTCCAAAGGCCAGTTTGACTCACAGCCTGTGTCCATGTGACAACACATTCCAAATAAAGAGTGTCCAGATGGGTGCTGTCTTCCAGCCTTCCCTTAATCAAATGTCCATTTACAGAAGCTTCGAGCAGGGCCACAAGGTCCCCAACAACTGTGCACACTGTTCCCTTTCCGCTGAGAATCTGGCTTCTTGGTGATCTCAGCTCAGGAGACTTCTGATTAGTGGAACTTGAAAGAAGAATCATAAATCTAGCCACTCTCCCTAACACAGTTTTTTGTCACAGCAGGAGATGGCAACTTTATCTACTCCCAAGCTGATGAAAATCAGAAAGGCAAAGTGGCCCGCCTGGTGAGCCCCGTGGTCTATTCCCAGAACTCCGCCCACTGCATGACCTTCTGGTATCACATGTCTGGTTCCCACGTCGGCACACTGAGGGTCAAACTGCGCTACCAGAAGCCAGAGGAGTATGACCAGCTGGTCTGGATGGCCATCGGACACCAAGGAGACCACTGGAAGGAAGGGCGAGTCTTGCTCCACAAGTCTCTGAAACTGTACCAGGTATGCCCCTTTTCCTAGGCTGGGGAGGGCAGTGGCTTTAAGAACACTGGAATAATATTTTGAAAGATCATGCAAATGAGATGTGAAAATTATTCCAAAAATTACTGTTGGTGTTTCCCAACAATGCTCATCCCCGTAGCAGATTTCACAGCCTCCTAGATTACAGGAATAGAACCCGTTTGCTGAGAGAGAGGGGGAAGAGCATTTTTGTAATCTATTTCTAGGTTGTCACAATGTATCATTTCATTAATTTGCTGCTTTTGCACCATTTTTTAAAGTTTGTACGATAAAAAGAGCGTGGGGAGAAGTTGTGTGCCATCACCAGGCAGCTAATGTGGATTGATGAGTGAAGTGTGTGCTTCTATGAATGCGAATTCTGATTAATTTAATGCGTGTGCTGTAGCTTGAGCTGAACAAGCATTGGTAAACACCGCTATGTGGGGCTAGCATTTAAATATTGTGAAAATGATCTCGTTTTGTTAGGTGATTTTTGAGGGCGAAATCGGAAAAGGAAATCTTGGCGGGATTGCTGTGGACGACATTAGTATTAATAACCACATTTCCCAAGAGGACTGTGCAAGTGAGTATGAGTTGCTGTAGAAACCAATGGAGCTCCTGCCCAGGGCAAAAATCTTTCCATGTGATTGTCTTGCTCATTGAGACCTAGAATTTCAGTGTGGGCTCTAGGCACATGATAGGAAGTGCGTATTCTGATGCAACAGGACATAAAATCAGGTCAATTTACCTTGAGTAGCTCCATCAGCCACCTAATGTAGTTCCTTTTAGAATGTCTGCTTGGTACCTATAAGACTATATAAATGATGTGGAATCCAGAGACCATAGCAAAGAAGAAAGATGACGCTTATAAACTATATATGCCACACCAAAACATTTTGATGAAAAGCGGAAAACTTAGACATCTGGATAATTCCAAATATCTGAGTGTATAAACAAAAACAGCAGGCATTTGAAAATTTTGATCACACTGAATTTAATTAAGATTACATTGTTATTGAATCATAAAGAACATAATTCTTTGCTTTATTGCAAATAAGTAGCTGTTTCTGACTCTAAAAATAGCTGAAATGGCTTAAAAGAATAAATGGAATTCAGAGACTTTGCCTAGTAATTCAGAGTTGGGCTTTATCAGCCTGGTACTAGGTAGATAAATGACATAGAAAAACCAATTCATATTCCCTAGTTCTTGATATATAATTACAAATAGCATCACTAATGGCAGCGTAATAGCATAGTAATTAGTCTTAAGCTCCATTTGCTACACTTAAACTTTTGTTATATATCATTACATAATAAGATGTTATTTATAACAAAATGGAATCTGCCTATTGGACAAATTTAAGACAAAGGAAGTCTGTTGGCTATAATCGGTTTTTGGTCATTTTGGCAACTTACAAAGCTTTTATTATGTAATATATTGAATATACATGATTCCTAAAGTGGCAATAATTTGATAGGATCAATTGAAGAAATTGGGAAAAAAAAAGGAGTAATGAATAAAAGTCTATTTTTCATACTATGTAAGGAAATCTGCTTAATGCCATACTACTTGGCAAATTTTCACAAAAGTCAGTCTTAATATTTCAGTTGCAACCACTTTACAGATTACCCACATCCAAGTCTACGCTGCAGTTAAAATGTGCATTTCATGTAGTTACACAATGTATGTGATAGCACTGCTTTCTCATTCCAAGGTGAGGGTGATGATGGTGATATTTTTCAGATGTTAAGAGCAAACTCCACAAAATAAAACAAAGAAATGAAATCCAGTTCAGTTCAACAAGTTTTAACTGGCCGCGCACCGTATGCAAAGCACCGTGGCAGTGCTGCAGTGAATGCACCTGGCTAAGGCAATTCTAGGAGCCTTTTTCTCTTCACGTGATGTGTCCACTTAGCTGTAGTTGCCACCAGGCATTGTACTGGGAAAATCAAGACTTCAATCAATAAAACACTTTATTTATGTTGCTACCATAAAAATAGGCCTGAGATAATTGTATAATGATTCATCAAACATGTATTCACCAACATTTAGCCATGGATGCTGTAAGGTTTTCAACTACTTATTAGTCATTCATTCATTCATTCATACAAGTATTGATTGAAGTGCCTATTATGTGTGAGACACTGTTCTGAATGCTAGAATATAGGAATGAACGAAGTACTCAAAAACTCCTGCCCTGTTCTCAGTACCATAGGGCTACTGGGACTCCACTTCTTCCATAGAATTCTGTTTTATTTATTTATTTATCTAAAGTCCAGGACATGGACTTTAGCCCCAAAAAGTTGGCATACTATTTGAGAAACCAAACTAACACACACCAAACTTAGGAAGCAGTGATCTACAAACAACAAGATGGTACCCATATCTACAAACCCACTTGCTCCCTATTTACACCAAATTCTTTCCATATTTCACATGCCCAAACCATGTCTCTTCACCCTTCTCTTCTAAAACAACATACTCTGCTAGCAGCAGTGCTACCTGGATTTAGATGTGATGCCTTAAAGGGAGTGTCATGACCTCATGTCACCAATTTCCTGGTCGTTTAACATTGCTCCTGACCACTGCTCTGCAGTTATTTGGTGGGTTCAGATTGTGCAGAAAGACCCAAAGGAAGCACAGCAGGGATGTGTATGGACAAGGGTTTCTGTCGTTTGTGTGTATTGTATTTTGTTGGCAGTTCAAATATCTCTTTCAATTTTGTTTGACTTGTCAGAACCGGCAGACCTGGATAAAAAGAACCCAGAAATTAAAATTGATGAAACAGGTAAATTTGTCTTGCTGAACAATTTTTTCTTTTTGTAAATTTGACTATGACTTTCATTATGTTTATGAAGAAATTTTCTGGACCTCTAATACACTGGTATATCAGAAACAGTTCAGATAAAATGAACATCCATGTTTGTGGCCCTGGGTCAATGCTGTGGATTGGATTATTGTCACAGTGTGTCCTCTTCAAAGGTGCCCTTAGGACTTTGGGAGCCTCTGTGACTACAGAAACAGAAAACTAGTGCAAACTATTGGAAACCAGCCCAAATTCTTGTGTCTTGTTGATATGCAGATAGGATCTTGGCCAGGCATAGTGGCTCACACCTATAATCCTAGCACTATTGGAGGCCAAGGCAATAAGATCATTTGAGGTCAGGAGTTTGAGACCAGATAGGACCTTTATGAGAATAGAGCCCAATTTCTGTGATAATTTGTTGCATTTCATCCATCTTTGCCCATCCTCTTCTACTGGACCCCTGGCTTTGTAATGGTGATGATGATAAGAAGGGTTTAGTGACTATGTTCCAAGCACTTTACGTGCCTTATTTAATCCTCATGGCAGCTCTATGGGGTATATTTATCCCCATTTCACAGATGATGCGACTGAGACTTAAATAGCACAGCTAATTAGGTGGTAGCCTCGGACATTAGCCTGATTAACTCTAACATGTGCACTTTTCTTGAACACTGCCTTGTGATCAGATGCAAGACTGTGGATCAGAGTTAGGCCTTGAAGTTTCCATACCTCCCAGCCAGCATTGCAGGTTGCCCGAGTGGGTAATACTGCACCCAAGTCATCAGTGTGCATTAGCATCTGTTGCCATTGGAAACAGGATCCTACCATACAGCCAGATGTGGACTCAATAGAGACAAATAAATATGGCACTGTGCTATTAGTTAACACATTAAAAAGTCCACACAGAAATGTAAACTTTATTAGAGATTGTTTCAAAACAGTATTTTATCCAAGGAGAGACTATTAATATGCCCCAAGGCTTGTCCTCCCCTGCTCAGGGACTTGCATCTCATATTTTTAGTTTGCTTTGATGGGAATCTTTGTGCATGAGAACACCATTAAGTAAACACCAGGCATGTTGCGCATTAACATTTTCATCCCATTCCTAGTACCAGGTAATTAGGCTCAAAGCTCCCATGTTAATAATTTCTTGTGTTCCACTCTAAAGAAAACATGTCCCCGGGGATAGAACTGCAGCGCAGTGTGACCGTCTCCAGTTAAACTGCCAGGGGCTGCTTATTAAATGTCTTCTCTTCAGCATGGCAAAGACATAGTTTCTTGATCAGAGCCACACCCTGTGTCCACGCTAGCAGCAATCATTCGCTTGTTTTGAAAGCCCTCGCCTTCTTTACTGAAACCACTTCACTTTGATATTTTACACTTTTTATACTCGTGTAAACCATGCCAGATATTAGAATCGGTACACACAGACGGGCAGCTCTGAAGGTTTCCCCATGCCCGGTTTTAGGGTCAGGCACATGCACAGGGGATGCTTAAACTTCCTCCCACCCCCACCGCAAGACATATGTGTGACTAAGCGTTTTGCAAAGCTTAATGGCCGCCTATCTGGCCAAGGACTGTAAACACAGATTACAATCTAGCACAGATGGAAGCTGCGTGAAATCTAAATTCTATGAGGACACAAACGCTCACTGCTCACCCGGAATCAGTGGGTCCCATGAGCAGAGAGATGTGTCAGAATCCCCTCACCCACTTGCTGACACCCTCCCAGACCTCTGTCCCCAGCAATGCGTCAAACACGTCAGGCAAAACTGGGGCATGTGATTTGCTCCTTTTTCTTCTCTTTTCCTATGTTTTCCTGCCTGCTTTCATTTGGTCCCCATCCGCGGTGTCACGCAGCCAATTTTGTTTTCCTCTGCAGGGAGCACCCCAGGATATGAGGGCGAGGGGGAAGGCGACAAGAACATCTCCAGGAAGCCAGGCAATGTGCTGAAGACCTTGGACCCCATCCTCATCACCATCATAGCCATGAGCGCCCTGGGCGTGCTCCTGGGTGCCGTCTGCGGGGTCGTGCTGTACTGCGCCTGTTGGCACAATGGCATGTCAGAAAGAAACTTGTCTGCCCTGGAGAACTATAACTTCGAACTCGTGGATGGCGTGAAGTTGAAAAAAGACAAACTGAATACACAAAATACTTATTCGGAGGCATGAAGGTGGACAGAGATGGAAAGACCCGTAATCAGAGAATTGAGGTGGAAGGACGTGGCGTGCGTGTGCTGGAGACTGTCCGTCTTCTCTCACTGGACAGGCTGGGAAGTGCGTGACGCTGAGCCAGGCTTTTCTCAGGAGCTTCAACGAGTGTGACCGACAGACACGGACAAGTGAGCTGTGTTAACAATCGGAATCATGTACAGTCAGCTTTTCTCCTGTTGGTTTAATTTCAATCATCAGATGCTGGTGTTGAGACCAAGTATGATTGACTTAATTCATTTCGGCTTCCCCATCCTTTCTCTCTCTCTCTCTCTCTCTCTCTCTCTCTCTCTCTCTCTCTCTCTCTCTCTCTCTCTCCTCCTTCTTTATACGGATTCTTTTTGGAAACTGTGCAAAATCCAAGATGCTGGCACCAAGTGTATTGAGTGGGGCCCTTTTGACGGACTGCTACCTGTAGCCCAGTGCCCAGAATATATTGGAATAACTGCGTTTCAATGGACTTCCGAAGCTGTACTTGTGTATAATTGCCCGAGTTGTGCATAGGCAAAGGAGGATTAGGGTGTTTTCTTTGAAAAGTACTGTAGCCTCAGTACCGGTATAGTGTGTCAGCTCTGTTTACGAAGCAATACCGTCAGATTTTCTTGATGTTTTTCCAGTGTTGTACTCAACCTCGTGCTTGTTAACTCCATACAGAAAACTGTGCCATCACCAAACACTGCTGGCAACTGGGTGTACTGCTGCCAACTGCAACAACAAAAAAAATCCTTGGCACTGGCTAGTCTATGTCCCCTCAAGTGCCTTTTTGTTTGTACTGGTCCATTGTGTTACATTGACAACCCCCTCTGTTTCTCGCTGGTGAAAGCCCTCCTCTTTAATCAAACCCTGGTGGCCCACTGACTAAGAAGAAAGTATATTTTAGTGTGAGACGTCAGCCCCCCGGGAAGGCAAGGGCTCTGAAGATTTGGCAATGTGGCTTAATCGTTCTGCTTTTTCTGTAGTTCAATTTCATGTCTCTTGACCCTTTTGTATAAAGCTGCGATATTCTCTCTTTATTGTTCTTTCATATGGAATGTATTTTCAAATGTAAACTCTTTCTCTTTCTCTCCTATTGCTGTCTTTTTTTCTCTCTTAGAATTTAAGCATTTGCCATTGTCCAGAAAAGAAACTTGCAGCTTTAACCTGCTGGGAATGGCAAACAATTTTACTAGACTTTATGTTTAAGAATAAATAAATAAGGGAAATTCCTAACTTTGCCCTCCAAAGTCTAACTTTGGTTTTCTTGTTAACTGGTTAAAGTGACAGTATCTTTTTTCCTGAAGCCGTTTGTCAGTCTTTTCTGATCAAAATGATCTTCCATAGACATGTTTGCATTTAATAGAAATAATGGTAAGTTGAGGGAAGAAATAATATTAATTGGCTCAAATGAGATCCAAAGGAAGGATTGAATAAAATCTTCCAAATATCTGAAAACATGAGATTTTTTACATCCAAATATGCAAAAATGACCCATAAAAACCTTCTTGTTTTGATATTGAGTCAGACAAAGGGGAATGGAAGGAAGTTAATTAAAGAAAGAAACTATAAATCCTGATGTGGGGGCGGGGAGGGTGAAGTAGTTCAAGATAAGAGTAGGGGAAACAGGTAAAGTCAAAACAAATGTTTTTAAAAATTCATTCAACAGCAACCCTGAAAAAAATAGACTTGAATGAATGGTTCTAGAAACTTCCAGCAGCTCGCAAAGAATAAGCCTGCCTTGAGGCTGGCAAGACCTAAGCCTCTAACAGCACAGAGGAGTGAATATCTTATCAGGCAGTATATGAATTAACCCAAAGAAGCTTTGGTTGTTTGGGGTGTATTTTTGTCATGACATTGTACATAAGCTTTTTTTTACATCTTCCTCCTTTCCTGCATTGCTATAGGTCTCACTCAAATACATTTGTTGAGAATCACATTTGCATCATACATGGGACAGTCCATTCATCTTGGTTAAATTGGATTGAGAATGCCTTTTGTTTCCAGGAAAGTATTGATCCCCTCGAAAGAAGAATAGTTTTCGTCCCCAGAGACATTCATTTAGTTGTTATAATCACGCCAGAAGGAAAGCACTAAGGAAGATTTGATTTTTTTCTTTTAAGGTAAACAGACTTAAAGTTATCCTCAGCCAAGGAAAAATGATACTGCAACTTTAAATTTTAAAGTATCTTGCACTGATAAATATATTTAAAATTATATGTTTATAAAGTTATTAATTTGTAAAGGCAGTGTTACAAAATGTTCAGTTTATATTGTTTTAGATTGTTTTGTAATTTTTAAAGGTATAAAATAACATATTTTTTCTTTATTGAAATCTATAAAACTCTCTGTAGTAAAATGTTTTCATTTTACTGGTATATTATTGCTTCATGTTTTGTACCATCGTAAGATTTTGTGCAAATTTTTTTTTACAGAAATTTTTATTTTCTATGACAATATGACACTTGTAAATTGTTATTTCAAAATGAACAGCGAAGCCTTAACTTTAAATGACATTTGTATTATCAGACACTGAGTAACATAAAAACCACATAAAAAACTGAACTGTAACTTAAATTCCAAACTATGACTACTACATTCCAAAGAAACAGTTGAATTAAACATTTTCATAAAATATCCCAAACCTGATGGCCTTTATTATATCAGCTCTGTTCTTGTTAAAGAAGTGGGTATTATCTCACCATCCAATAACTTTCAACATTTTTTAAAGTTCTCTGTTAAAAATATCTTTGTAAGGAGGGAAGATTAAGAAGACATTTCCTAAAAGCAGAATATCGACCCAAATTAGACACTGCCAAGATAAAGAATATGGAATTTGGCCTTATAAATGGAAAATTTTTTAAATCCCAAATTGTGTGTCAAATGTTCTGTATTCCATTTGGTTAAGGGTTTTTTTTTTGTTTTGTTTTGTTTTTTATGAAATTCAAAAATTACTGTTGGTTTGTTTTGGTAGAAAATAGGTAATAAATCCAGCAGTGTTCATTCATGCACTTAAGCTACATTTAGGTAAAGGGAAAAGTTGAACATGGTGTTACAACGGCTATTTCATATGATAATTCTTAGGAAATTTTCTATTCCATCTGTGAGCAAAATAATAGAAAAACTATAAACAACAACAAAGACAGTAGAAATGTTGAGCCCAAGCATGCAGAGGAGGGGCCTTTAGAAAGCTTGTTACAGCAAAATTGGCCTGGCTTAATCCCTGTTATCCACAGAACAACAATTCTTCCACTACCTTCCTCCGAGTGTAGGAAAACTTATTCCTGAAAGCACAGGGGCTTCCTGAGTAGGCAACTTTGGACAGCCGTTCTCAGTGAATCAGTCAGTATTTCCTCCACTTCCCACATTTTTCTGGACGCTTATGCCTTTTTGCCTTTTCCAAGATTAACCAAGAATAAAAAATTTTCCCCAATGAGTGGATTTTTTAGGTCTCTCAGCATAGAGAAAAGAATCCGAGATAGAGACAAAGCCAGGAATCAACTTTACTGAAGTTAAACTCCACATACATTCATGGATGTTTCCAGAAAACATGATGACTTACAAGGAGGCTATGAGAATTAATGAAAAATGCTAACGCCTGTGAACTAATATTATCTCTGTTTCATTGTTTGAACCTTAAACACAGATGCGTTTCACCCTTTCATACCTCTAGTTAGGACTAAGCTAGGCTTTTATTACTAGATTTAATAAGCTGAATCACTGTACAATACTTCCCAGATTCAAGATTGAAATATTTAGCTTCAAACATGAAAATAATTTACTGTTCTCTCTCCTGTCTTCCCTGATAACATATTCATTGCCACTTGGGCTGAATTGGACTGTATCTTTATGCAAACCAAATAGACATCCCATAATGCTTCTGTTCTATAATGTTTCTGCTTCCCACTGGTAATTATAACTGTTTCCTGTTGCATTAATAAACAGTTCTGGGCCAGGCACGGTGGCTTACACCTGTAATCCTAGCACTCTGGGAGGCCGAGGCTGGAGGATCATTTGAGCTCAGGAATTCGAGACCAGCCTGAGCAAGACCCTTTCTCTACTAAAAAAAAATAGAAAGAAATTAATTGGCCAACTAAAAATATATAGAAAAAGTTAGCCAGGCATGGTGGCGCATGCCTGTAGTCCCAGCTACTCGGGAGGCTGAAGCAGAAAGATTGCTTGAGCCCAGGAGTTTGAGGTTGCTGTGTGCGAGGCCACGGCACTCTAGCCCAGGCAATAGAGCAAGACTCTGTCTCAAAAAAAAAAAAAACAGTTCTGCCAATAATTAGCTCTTATTTCCCTAAAACTATATCCACTAAGGCATATTAAGCAGAATCTGAACTTGGAGATTGAGAAACCTGAACAGAGGGAGCCTCAAATTGAAGAGAACTTAATACCAAGAAGCACATGAGACCAGATGATAACTCCCCTCCCCCAAAATGTTCCAAAGAAACATCGCAAGATGATATGGATGAGAACATCACATTATCACATACATGTACCTTCTTAGTCAGCAATCAAGGGCCTGTGAACTGATCCTATCATTGTAGGAGAGGAAGACTAGGGGAATCTTCTATGGTGACGGCATTGAACTTCTTTTCATTAAGAACACTAGCTATTTTCACAGAGGTAGGTTTTGTAATTATTCCACTTTGTAAATGAGGCATCTGAAGCTCAGAAGGTTGAGTGATGTGGCTGGAATGTGTCTGGTCTCATCCCCCTCTGTCACGCCTCCCCCTCCATAGTCACACACGACCTTGCGAGGTGTTCACACGGGGCCTTACCACGCCAAGTGCGTCCCATGAGGCCGCAGTAGTGGCAGCGTCGCCCAGAAGCCTTACAGAAATGCAGAGTCTCAGGTCGTACCCCAGACCTGCCGAGTCATTTCAACAAGGTCCCCGCATGACCTGCAGTCACACTCAGGTTTATGCAGCACCACGGTGGTCTGCGGCTGCCCCGAGCCAGGCATGTGACAGTTTGCACTGCTTCCAATGATAGCTTCTGAACACTTAAAAAGCAGGGGAAACATCCGGGCAGGTTTCACGAAGCACTTTTCAGAAGAGCCTGAGCACAATGCAGCTTGGAAAAGCAAAAATGAAAATGAATAAATGTAAAACCTCACTCACTTAACCCAGGAGCACTTTGCAGCCACCCTGCCTGGTCGCGTGAGGGGCGTAAACGTGGGCTTTTCTGACAGGGAGGAGAGACTGCCGTTGTAGTAATTTGCTGGATTAAAAATTTGAAAGTGCTGCAGAAGCATAGCAAATGCTCCTTTCCTTATCACTGTGCAGCCAGTAGAGAAAAGGAAGCACATGCCAGTATGTGAAGAACCAAATCCTCTATTCAAAAGAAGCCGCCTTATACAGCACACACAGTGTACTACTTTCCAAAGAGGTGAAAATCCCTAGTGGTAAAACCAGGCTGAACCCTATTCAATCTTTCTTTGATGATTTCTAATCTTGTTCCTTAGGGTCCTTATTGCAAATAAATGAGAAAGTATCATACAATAGAGCTTTGCTGTCAAACGGTGACTCCCAAAAGAGGGGTTTTTTTTTTATAGAGAAAGATTATCTCATCCCCACATCTGAATGGCATGGTCCTGTTATAATCTAAGAGTTAACAGATGTAAAATATTCATAGCCAGTAACCTAATTTTATCACTGCCCTGTGAATGGAGTTGGAAAGTCGCTTCCTCTGGCAGTGTGTTGGGTTGGAAAGGGACTTGCTGTCCTGGGTGGTGTTTCTGAGCCTTGCCTGTGTGCAGCTTGCGCGAGACAATGACTCACCTACTGGAGAGCAGGTATCTGTCCCAGGGATCTGGGCATCCCACCCCGTCATCTTAGACATGAGCCAATTCCACGCCCTTTCTTCAAGGCCCCAACATCGTTTCTCAGAGACACGATGCTGGCAGTGCCTACAGTCCTGATGTAACCCTGCTGGGAAACCATTCCATCACCTATTAGGGCCATCGCATCTCTCTAATTTTGTCCAACTTCTGAGAATTTTCAACATCGATTAAATTGCTGCTTGGCTTTGCGTATGTGATATATTTAAAGCATATCTGATTGCTGTCCTCAGATCTTTTGCAATGCTGCTGTGATTCAAGATGTCCATTTAAAAGAAACTTATTTCTAGAGTCTGAAATATAATTTTTCTTGGGTCAACTTTTAACTTTATTTATATTTAAATCACCTAAATTCCTTTTAGTTGTCAGAAGAAATACCCTTTCTGTCGTTCAAATAATAAATAATAATAAATCATCTCTTCTATTTAATTTCATCTACATATTGGAAGCTGTGGGTGGTTGGAGAAGTCCCTGGAGTGGCAGTGCTCTCTCCCCTGGTCTCGAAGCACACAGAGCTACTACATTAGATAGGTGTGTTTCAACTCATCAGTGAGCATGTTGTTGAATCTACTCTGCATACATTTCTTACTCTTTAACATCATAACTACTATAATTTTCTAAAGGCTTACTGTGTATCAGATCTTACTAGATGTTTCCATTAATCCTCAAAACTACCCCATGATTTGGGGATGCAAAAATTGAGGTTCAGAGAAGCTAAGAAGTGTAACTAATGTCACACAACTAGTTAGTAAGGGGCATTTACAAGACTGAAATATAAGTCTATCTAACACAAAGCTTGTAATCTTAAATAGCTACTCTACACTCTCTCCTCAGTGTGAAGGAATCCTCATCCTATTAGCACGTGTCAATTGTTGTAGGCACACTTTGGAATGCATTGTGCTACAATCTCACTTTACTTAGGCCTGGCATCAGTCAGGTCAGGCTAGGCTATACTGTGGCGAGAAATAAACTCCCAAATATTAGTGAATTAAGTCGTCAAGGTGTGTTGTTTTGCTCACACAAATTCTACTGTAGGTCTGGTAACTCTGCAGGACAGCTCTGCTCCATGCAGTCATCCAAGGCTCCAGGCTGGCTACCTCTTGCTGCTGTACTAACCAGAACTTGTGGGTTCTAGACACTGTGCAAGAGAGAACTAGAAAGTTCTTCACTGTCTCTTAGATGTGACAGCCTGGAGTTGACACAGCCCTACCAAATTTCAAGGGCTCAGAGAAAAGTCAGAGAGCACATGTATATTCCATGGGCAGTTGGAGTCTCTGCCACAACTTTCAAGGGCAAAGCCACCCTCCTGCTGCAGAAGGCAAGTGAGATGGTTCGCTAGGCCTGTCACAAAGGGAAGTGAGGTGCTTCCCAGACTGGAAACCAACCATAACTTCGGGGATGCAGTCAAACAAGATGTCAAGTGAGATGAGACGGCTCTTGTCAAAGATGAGACTCTTTGTGTTGGATTGTGAGGCGTCCTCCTGTGGAAGCACGTCAGGAGATGAGATGAGGAACCTGGGCTAAGGACCTGTGGAATCATCTAAGCCCTTTGGGTGCAGAGAAAAAAATCTTAGGAAGCAGAACATGAAATGGGTCAGGCTGTGAGTCCTGGGAACAAACTTTTACACTTCTCAAACGTGTGCGTGTATTTTCACTTGAATTTCCCATAATGTCTAGCATTTAGTAATTTTAGTAATATGCAGTAGTTTTTAAAATCCCCATGCATCTCAGCTATCCAAATGAGAGAGAGGACAAAAGTTTGTGTTCATATTTAGGCTGAAACACAAGAAAGG